AGAAGGTCTCCTGTGCTTATTGGCTTGTTCAATCATTTGATGTTGTGCTTTAATTATGTTCTGCTTTACCCTTTCTAAATCTTTCTGATACTGCATTGTGAACTCTTTGGTCCTTGGCGGAAGTTTATGTGCTCTATCCGCGTTTAGACAGTCTATAGGTCTACGAGGACTCCATTCCAAATGTAACTCCATCGGAGTTCTGCAAGTAGACAAGTGTACAGAGCTATTATAGGCACTAGCAACTTTGGGCAAATGTTCATCCCAATCAATCTCATCAGGACGAATGTACATACGCAGTGTCTGCTACAAAATCTTGTTCATTTGCTCAGTCTACCCATTTGTCTCATGGTGTCGGCCTGACGACATTGTCAACTTAGAGCCATAGACACTCATTAGTTGCTGTCAATGTTCACTAGTGAATCGAGTCTTTGTCACTAACGATAGTCAAGGGATGACAAGGTCCTTTACCCAGAGGTTAAAGAATTCTCGAATTATTAAGTCAGTTTTAGCTTCCGCAGGCAATGGTACAAAAACAACAAACTTGTTGAATCTATCAACAATTACCATAACTTGGCTTTTTCCATTCCTGCTTTTCACCTTTGTGTCCATAAAATAGATAGACACAGAGTCTCCAGGACCTGTTGGGATAGGCAAAAGTTTCAATAAACCAAGGGGAGGTTGTGTGGTGCTTTTGTTCCGTTGGCACACTTGACAACCTTGCACATAAGCAATGCAATCAGGCTTCATTCGAGGCCAGGTGTAAGAACGCAAGAGATTAGCGTAGGTTTTTCTCCACCCGAAATGGCCTTCGGTATCATGGCATTCCTCTAAGATTACACTTTCGATTTCTTCTTTGTTCGGAATACAAAATCTATCACGCACATCAGTTCTTTCAAACAACAGTCCTTGAGTTACTCAATAGTTAGGAAACTTTTGTGGCGCTTCTTGAACACGTTTTAGCATAGCGCCATAAACAGGATCAACGGAATAAGCATCCTTAATCTTATCTTGTATATTGGTGCCTATGTCTAAATACGTTACAATAGCACCAAAGAAATCAGATCTTCGACTTAATGCGTCAGCAACAACGTTATACTTACCC